GTTAGTGTTAACTCTGGGAGGACCTTAAGGATGAAGGTCTGGTTGGCAGGGAGGGGTTCGGGGGATTTGTCAAAATGCTGAACTTGCTTAGCAAGGACATGGATCGCTTACGTTGTTCATTTGTTTAATGAGGTGGGTGGAGATGTGAAGAGCTAAACGTCTCCAACTCCTCACCCCTTGGCACCTCCTCTTTGGGAGAAGAAAGTTGTAGGGCTGTGGGTAACAATGTTTTAATCCTTTCATGCTTGGGTGAAAGCAAAGTATTCATTTATACCTAGAGGGCATGATATTCTCAGTCCTTGATTGCACTTGGAGACAAATGATGGCATACAGGACAAAGATAAGGATATTGGTTGTAAATAACGCCAAGCATATTTAAATAAATGTATTAACGCACTTGCCTTATAAATATTCAGTTTTTTATTAGATATTAGCAAAGAAAACGGTGGGGTATTTGTGTGTGGGTGCCACCACGTCAAAACAGTTAAAGGTAAGAAGGCCCCAAAAGGCTGCAAAATCAACACAAGTATTTCCTTGTCACTGCTCTCTTGTGTGTTCTCATGAGCGAGGGTACCTTCGACCTATTACTTATGCTTATCCACCCCATAATTTCATTACCGGAACCTCTTCTGGTATTTGTAAAGCACGTAAAGAGACTGAATTCATTTCTAAATTCTATGGCTCATGTGGATGTGTTATAGTGACAAGGAAATACCTATTTTGAAGAGAACTGAAATATTACTGCCCACTATGCTTGATAAACACCTTTGCTCTATTATTTGAATCCTGATTCAGACAAACCAAAGGTTAAAACAATTTTTTTAAGAGAATTGGGGAAATTTGAATACTAATTAGATATTTAGTAATAACAAAATAAGTATTTTAGGTACCTGGAGATGCTACTGTTGACAGAATAGACTTGGGGTTTTTGTTGTTGTTGTTGTTGTTTGTTATGTTTTGTTTTTTTAATGGAAGTATGTGAGACTTTCTTTTACTTCAAGTTACCCTGTTTTTTAAAAAAAAAATTCCAGAGCTCTTGAACACATGGTCTTACTGCTTGGGAACGCCATTATCTAGTAAACAGATGTGGTGCTTAGAAGAATAATGTGAAGGTGTGGGAGAAATGGGTTCGGATGCCTCAAAAGATGATTGTAGTGCGCAATCTCCATGGCCTGCCTCTATGCAGCAAGAATGAGGTAGAATGAGGAGATGGAGTTTTTTGTTGTACAGACAAAAGAGCTCCATATTTTAAAAACCCTACTTAGAACTACAGAGAAAAGAGATTTTCCCCATCGGGGTCTCTAGAAATGATTTCAAGGAAGGATGCTGATTTCCCTGGCCTGGGTCACCTGCAAACCCCTGGGCATATGCACTCCTGGCCAGGTGCACACAGTACTTAACGTGATTAAGCAGCCCATCAAAAAACCATGGAGTTCGGGAAAAGCAGTGCTCCAAGGAAAGAGGTTCTCTGATGCCAGAAGTGAGGCAGGTTATAAGGCAGAAGAAGAAGAAAACAAAACAAAACAAAACCCAGAACAGGTGTCTATTACATCAAGATTGGGAATGTGTGCTATAATTACAAAAATAATTTAAAAGGTTGTATTGACCTTTTAAGATTGCAGCTTTGCCCCCCTTTTTTTTAGCCTTTTAGAATTATCAATGTGTTTCTTTTTCCATTCCTTAGTCTTTCTGACCTCATTTCCCTGTATTCTTCCCAAGCCTAAGCACCACTAATGCTATATGCTTTATCTTTTATATTTAGAATGCAACCTGAAGATATCAATTACTACTAATAATGTAATGATGTTAGCCTGTATTTACATTCTGTTCTAGTTTCAAAATGTAATAACTCTGAAGCAGGGGATATGAACTATGTAGCTAGCACTGGGGAAACACGCCCAAAGAGATTGAGTCATCTCTGTAGCTTCGTAAGCTTTGTAAGTCAAGATTTGGAGCCTGCCCTTTCTGGCTCCCTGTCCAGTGCCGCTTTCTTTTCTGTTGTGTAAAGGTCATGGTAGAGATGAGGGTAAAGGAAGAACTGTCTCAGACTTCCAAGGTTTTGAGGTTATCAAATGGAAATTTTAAATTAGGTGAAAATTAATGTGATACTAGAAGAGAATTACAATATCAATTTCAAAGTTACACGAACTACACATGACTCTTTGTGTTCGGTTTATAGATCCTGCCTGGGTCCTTGGGACAAGTCCAAGCATAACAAGATAAGATATCTTCTGTGGCCATGCTCAGGTAAAGACAGGATTCCTCTTGTATGAAGTAAAACCCTTCCTTCCCATCCAGCCCCAAGCACCCAATTTCAGCCACCTTTATACTGTGATACTAGTTTGAAAAGGACATATATCATAATTCATAAAATTTAAACTAGAACTTTATTACAAAGACAATAAAAAAGAAAATATTTCCCCAAAATGAGGATCAAAGCTTAACCACTCCCTGACCCAACATCTTCCCATCAAAGGAAGAGAGAACCTCACATCTCAAAAACGTTATCATTTTACATCCAGATGTGGACCGTATCCCACAGTTGAGAATAGAGAGATAAATAATCTTT